TTTTTTTTTGGAGGGGGGAGGGGGCTGTGAATATTAGCACTAAAGTCGCGACTTTGTTTGAGAATACTGGATTATCGAGTTGTTATACGCTACATATCGTTTGGGTTTCTGAAGGTTAACCATATGTTTGTTTGAAGTCGAGTTGTCGTGCTGTTTATTTTTGCAGTTTTACTTTAGAACAATATTGGGTTTTTAAGATGGCGAGTGAGACGGTTGAACCAGAGTATGCGGACCTTAGTCAACAAACAGTGCAGTTTACAAATGACATTCCGGACAGTACCACTACCGCTAATGTTGTTTACGCTAATACTGAGAGGGGTGATCTTTTTATTCTTCACCCCAAATTTATGTGTTCTGCAGTTTTTTGGTAAAGGTTAAGAAGGACGTGTGCTATTTTAGATGAAGATGAGGGTCATGAAGAAGAGTTTGCTGAACGTGAACACGTTTACTCAGAATACGATGCTTTTCCGACGGGGCACGATTTTACATCAAATACAGCAGACAGTCATGATGAAGTTTTGACCCTTGCCAATTCTCAGCAAGCTGATGATGAAGAAGAAAAAGGTTCTACTGTAAAGTCAAAAAAAAAGTCTGGGAAAGTTCGGCGATCAACGGTACTTTTGCTGAAGATCTTTTGAGTGTTTTTGGATAAATAAAGTTCGTATCAAGTTCTGCGTTTGAAGTTAGTAAAACGTACATACCCATGTGTTAATTGTTTAGAACAGCGCTAACGGAATATGTCCTCCACCACCAACGCAACCAGTGCCCTTAGTTCGGTGGGGTAATTCAGATAGCAGTTTAAAGGAAATTTTCCCGAAATCTTTTGCTTATCAGGTCTGTGATCCGTTCCAAGTTTTTTCTGAAGTTTCAATAAGTTATGCTCGTTGTTCATGTTTGCTTTCGATTTGGGTCAAGTGACCAGTGTTATTCTGTTCGATCTTTTAAAGCTTTTCTACTTGCTTCTCGAATGGAGTCGCCAAGAGTTTTTGCACATACCTGTCTTTTATAGTTATTTTTCCTTATACTGATCAGTAAACTGTCTATAGGTTCCTGTGACGGCAAGATCTAGCGTTAATTACCTAGCTCCAGCTAGGTGGCAAAGAGAACAAGTATTTTTTACCGAAAAATATCACTATTGGCGTGCTGTAAGTGAAAGGTAATTTATTTCCTTCCCTTGAAATTTGTAATTTTAATTACAATGTGAAATAAAATCTTTAGTTATTCGATATAGTCTAGTTAGCAAAAGCTTTTTTATCTCGCTTTAGATTTGATTTTATCAACTGTAATTTTTTGATTGTTAAGAAAGGCTGAATAAATGTTTGCACTCTTGTTCAAATACTTTTTTGGAACGAACTTTTGCGGAGTATAAAAAAATTTTTCCTATTTTACTTTTTCGTCTTTATTTATAAGAGGGTCTTTGGGTTAAGAGGTTTATTGGGGAGTTTTCGATTTTAGTTCGAAGGTGCCTGAGAAGGAACGACCACGTTTGAAGCGCTTGATTCAGCAGCTAACATGGCTTTTGAATAATTCATGGGACTGTGAGGACGAAACAGTAGCACCTCCAGAAATGCTGTGGAGAGCGCGGAAAGGTTTTTCTGCCATTTTTACACCAAACTTCTTTTTTCATTTCTGCTAGAAGCCACATAGTTTTTTTAGTTTTAATTGAAAACTTACATTTTCTTTTTTGTATTGTTAGTAAACTAATGTTGATGTTAGTAAATATAAGGCAGTTCAGAAGAGATGAGGAGGCTGGAGCAACTGTTAGTTCGTAAGCAGATTGTACCACGTGAAGCAGGAGATTTAGAGTCTACTGCTCTTTCACAAGGCGAATCTGATCAACATCCAACCAACGATATTACCAAAGTTTCTGCCCTACAAAAAGCGACACCGAACGTTTTCCAAGCAAAAGTCTGCAGCCAGTCTGCGTCACCAAATATACTCCCTACTGGGCGCTTATCATCTGTAAAGAGGAAGCTTGTTCCTCAGCCTCGGGTTCTAGAGTGTAGCGAAAATGAGCATTGTGATTCTACTGAAGTTAAAAAAATGCGGCCGCAGATTATCGGAGAAGCGGAACGTGTGGAAGATCCAAATGCTTATTCCGTTTATCCCAAGCGTCTAGGATCGAAAAAGCCTTTGTCATCTAAGGTTGCTTAAACAGATTGCTACTTCTTTCCTAATTAACGGCACAACTTTATTATGCTATCGCTCACTAGTCTTTCACAAGATTACTTTTTCCTGTTTATGCTGGGTTACAGACATCAGTCGCTGCCAACAAATACCTACCTAATCCGCTAAGTAGAGAACAGAAATTAAGCAGACAGGCGAGAACACCTACGTCAGAAGTCTGTCAGAGTTCATCTTTAATTTCGCATGATTCTGATGAGTCTGGGTGAGTTCGCAGTTGGTTTTATTTATTTATTTATTTATTAGCAATTCTATATTATGTTTTAATTGCCACATAAACTTTTTATTTTGATGATAGGTCGTTGTTATCACTAACCATTTTATACCGGCGTTGGAGTGACGTTTTAAAGAAGCTTCATTGTGAAATGGGGTCTAACGCACGCCTGTTGTGTAAAGACGTCGAGAAGTTTTTGGAAGAGATGAGGGAGGCACAAAAATCTTTGCCTTTAGACTTGAGTAAGTTCTGTTCAGTTACTTCAGAGAGAATTTTTTGTCTGAAGAAAGTTTTGAAAGGACTTGAATTTTTGTTTACCTGTTTAATCGTGACAAAAATTTTCTTGACTAACTTTTTTACCCTATTCCTTTTTAGGTTATTTTTACAAAAAACAAGCCATATTAAAAAAGAAGCTGTCGGATAATATGTTAGACTTCTACTTTGCCCTTTGGACCCTATGTGATTTAGTTGAAGTGAAACAGGAGGTAGTTTCTAATTTTCACATGCTCGTTCCCTGTTTGATTTCTTTTATCCATAGATATTTATTGCAGAGAAGTTTTGCAAGAGATAATAATTTATCTAGAAATTTTTGGGCGCTTATCGCTATACCGCTTTAAAGACTCGTTAAAAGTATTTTTTCTTTGCAGCCCAAATCTAGAAACTTGGTCGTTTGTGAGGATGGTCACGTTGGAAATCTAATGAGTTCAAAAGAACTATTTGCAGAACAGCGAAAAACAGTGGAAGGTCTATGATAACATTTCTTGAGTTTGGGCTCCTTCTTTTTGTTGAAATATCATTATAACTAAGAATCAACAAAGTGGTTTTCAGGTCTTCTCACTTCTGAAACTGAGCGTTACGAACTGAAAGATATTATTGCAATTGAAAAGTTTGCAGATAATTGTTCAGGTGTGCCGGTTGCAGTAACTTTTTTTTGATCTCATTTTTTGGTTG